AACAGTGCCTTTAGACTAATCACATTTTATACACTAACAGCAGAATCCAGACATTTTCAGTTACACAGCGGTAGCAAAAGGCAATGCCAAAAGTTGAAGTCACAGCTTTGTACAGCCTTTGAGCTCGAGCAATAAGGAACAGTGTAAAACCATTTGCAAGGAGGCAGGGAAAATTAATCAAAGCTTCTGAAATGATGTGAGTCAGTCTTTGATTGTAGTAATGCTTTGTAAAGGACCTGGGCAAGGGAGAAATATCACCTGGCCCAGAGAAAATGCTTGTGCCTCTGAATGGTCTCCAAGCGCTATCCTGATGTCTGTCCACACTTAGGTAGACACAAGAACTGCACAGTTTTGAAGAATCTTAATTTCAGAAAGGGAAGTGTTAAAGCTACGCAATTTAAATACAGCAATCCATCTGTTGCTTAAAAAAGTAATCAGACTGCTTTCCCCCATACCTTGTTTAAAACATTGGTTTGTTTATTTCCAGTGAAATGATACTTGAATCTTTTCTGAAGAGGATTCAGCATGATCTGTATCGGAAGGATAATGGGTGGCGATGGGGGTAAAGAGTACTTTTCCGGCAATTGTTTAGGCTTGGTTAACAATGCATCTCTAAGTTTGACAGTCAAGGATGAATTTAAGTGTTGAATTCTCCCAACGTCATCATCTCAAAGAATGGGTTTATAAAAATGAACATTTCTTAGTTCTGCCTCATTGGCTGAAGGCAGTATTATGCAATCATTACAATTCCTCAAATATGAAGGATATGCAAAATATTTCACTTTATATAATAATTGATACAACTCAGGCTGCTAAGGATTATTTATCCAACAACAATATAAGTTACTTAAGTCTGTTTGGTTTAGGAAACTCCTATCTTTTAAAAAAAAGAACACAGAAAACCACCATTATCAGTATCAAACACAGGGGCTGTCCAAGAGACATGCTTATTCATATTTGCTAAAAGAGGATAAAAGACTCATCAGACTAATGAATGCAATACATCATTTCCCATTTTCATATAACTGATTTAAGTGACCCAGCCTGCCAGACCAAAACTGTTACCAGCTCAGGGTGTAGAATGGCCTTGTATCTTCCCACTCCATGATGAAAAAAAAAAAAAGAAAAAGAAAGCAGCAGCCACAACCACTCCAGGAAAAATTGCTTAGCTGAGCTTTGGCTGTGATTTAATACACAAAAGAAAAGGAACAAGATGAGCAGCAGTGCCTTCTGATTAACCTCAAAGGCAGACTACTATGCACAATGAAAATCCTTCTGTAGTCTCCCCTTTTTGCAAAGTCTCTTTCAGAGATGTGTATTCCTTCTGGCGTGGGACACATTAAAGTGATTAAGGCGAATTTCAAAAAAGGCTATGACAGGAAAAGCACTAACTAATAGGTAATCTTGCTGTAGCATGTAAGGCCTGATCCTCATGAAACCTGAACTGCCAGCTACCACGAGATCACTAGCTGGGATGACTTAGAGTTACAATGTTGCTACTGCCAAAAAGGACAACTTTGGCACCTCGCATTTTCCAAACAAAAGAAAAAAAAAACATTCTAATGTTAATACAAGTAACAAATTCAACTTATCTTCTGTCTTTAGGGAGTACAAAATTTTAAATAATTCTCCATGAGAATGCACATCTCTGATGTTTATTATTCTTACTAAAATGCAGCACAACTTTTTAAAAGGATACGAGGTTTGCAACTTCAGAAGCTGACAGAACAACATCTCCAAATTGTTGTATACATCAGGAGCGCTGGCGGGTGCAGGAAGGCCAAATGCCTGAGACTGCGGCGGCCCCACAAATGGCCAGCGGAGCTGGGTTAGCACCTCTTCAAAGTCACTGCAAGGCAAAATGAGCACTTCAACATGAACTTACAAGTAGAACACAAAGACAAGGGAGTGCCAGTATATCTCTCACCTTGACAATTTGTCCTTGAGAATTTTATGCCAGAATTTAACCGTGGATCTCATGAAAGCAAGAAGATGAGAACAAGATGACTCCTGAAGTTTAATATCCAGTTCTGCCATGAATGCTAGAGTACTGGCTGCCTCTGGAACATTGTTGGTCATCAGATGTTGCTGAATGCTATCACTACAAAATACAAGAAAAGTCAAGGTCAAAAATTCATTTAAGGTAACAGAAAGGAATCATTTGAATATTGAAAAATAAAGATAAAACTTCCTCAAATCTCAAACATTTCAATAATGGGACAAACTAGGTCACCAGTCTCAGAACACAAATGCAGTACTCAAACTGTACCTTAGCTCTTCTATTCGTGAAATCCATTTAAGATAGGACAGATGTCGTTCAATCTCTTCTACTTGACTGATCAGTACACCGAGATCCTCCATCCATGGCTGAGCTTTCAGTAAGTGGCTACTGATTGAATCAGACAGAAGAGTTTCTTCCTCTAGAAGCCGACTCAGAGACTTCTTAGAGTCTTCTGCATTCTTTAAGGCATTCTGAATTCTTTTAGGGACTTCTGATGAAACTGTAAGTACCTACATTCACAGAGAAGTATTAAGTCTGGCATTAAAACACTGCACTACATAGGGTAGTACCATTTGAGATACGAATACATTGCTTTAATTTAGTTAAATATACTTAATTAGTCAAACAGCATATTCAGAAGCAGGGAAAAAAAAAGAAAAATGATAAGATGTTTACCTGTTCTTCTAACTGCTTCTTATTTTCAGACAGCTTATCAATAAGGTTGTCTAGCTTCCTTAGAGAATCATAGTCAGTTCCAACTTCTCTTTCCACAAATTCGGAAACATAGTACGGGATATCACAATGATCTAGATCTCTAGCAACTTCTTTCTTTCCAACAGCAACGGTTGCCATCTTTTCTTTCTCTGCAATACTGATTATACAATTTCTAATTAGTCACCACTAAGACAGCACAAACAACTATTGATCTGTTGCTCTATGAAAAGCTGGGCAGTTCAATTTAAATTGAAACTTAAACTAGACGTTCAATAAATATACTGCTTTAAGTGAGACAATTTGCTAGTATAAGTCTTAGCTGAGATATGATGAAACCTTACTTATACCTCCAACTGATGATTTTTCATACATTAATTACTGAAGAGAAATATGCCTGTTAATTATTTCTTTCCACAAGTGTGAATTTTATTTAAAATAGTTCAACAAATATGTAGTTTCTCCATATGTAATATGGAAAACTTAATGAAAAATACTGGGAAAATATTTCTGCAAAATACGAAGGAAGATAACAATGTTCTGCTTTACCTTTTCACACAGTTTAGGATGTTCCAGAGACATCAAGTGATGACTGATGTATTACTGGCAAAGTATCCAGTCAGGTCTTGCAGTGATTTGTAAAGTAAAAGCATCACTGAAATATCTGTAAGAAAACCCACACAGTGTAACAGAAGAGGCACTTGCTGATCCACACTTCTGGCAGCAGCCAGAGAAAATCAGACTTGAAATTGAAAGGATGATCATGTACAGTGAAATAAAAAAGGCAACAGCGATGAGCTTTTGGCTAGTTCAGTTCTCAACTTTTTAATATCACTTACAAAACAATATTTAAAAATGAAATTTATACACTTGCGCTTTTATCTGCTACAAGCTTTAATTCAACGAAAACCCCTATTAAACAGACAACGGGGAAGAGTGAGAAAACGGTGCAGCTGACGAGCCAAAGCTGGAGAAGCAGCAGAGAGCACCAGGAAGAACAAACTGAGAGACCAAGAGTGTTGCTGAGGAAGAAGTGAAGAAAGAAAACAGAGCAGCAAAAAGCACCGTGCCGTCTGGAGCAATGAAAACAAGTAATACCGCAAAGAACTGCCAACCGAGGGGTGCTCTTCTCGTGCTAGAGGAAAGGATCAGGATACGGGAGGAGAGAGGAGCAGGACACAGGGGAGCATCCTCCAACCACCCCAAGCACGCAGCTCCGCACCCACCTCCGCCAGAGGGCCAGGCCTTTCCCAGGCGCGCTAGAAGGCCCTGCGGGCCCCGGGGAGGCTCTGGCCGAGGCCCCCTGCCGCCGCCCGGGGCTCAGGCCAGGCCACCAGGCAGACCCCTCCCCCGCGAGCCTTTCTTCCCCCGCTCCGGGCGCTGCCCCCGGGGCGGCGCTTTCCCTCGCAGGCTGGACGGCGCCCAGAGAGAGGGCGCAGGCGGCGGAGCTCGGTCGGGCCCGCTGATGCGGAC